CAAAATTCAGCCACTTGAGCCCCATTCTCTACGCATCCTTTCAAGAGCTAAAAAGAGAGGAAAAGAGGCAAGGAAAAGAGAGAGAAAAACCAAGCAAAAAAGGGAGACCATTTGGGGAAATAAAGATTATACCATCGCATCGCTTCAAGAATCTATCCAATGGACTGCTTTTACCTTTATCTTGTATTTATCATTTATTTTCTTTATTTTGTAATGGGTTTTTATTAGGTGTTATTTATTTACTGCTTTAATCTGAATGTATGTGATTGTTTAAACATTGAAATTAATTAAATTAATTATCTTAATCATCTAGAAACAATTAATAAGTGACTTGTTATTTTTAATTGGTTGAATTCCGCATTTGGGTCTAAACAATGATAAGTTCTTAGAGGTGGTATTAGCGCAGTACGTACTTAAGAAAATCTCACTACCTTTAACCTTAAAGTGTATACTCATTGCTTGGAATTGTCATCAAATAATACAAGAAGCAGCCCATTACCAATATCATCAGGAATTATAATAGCATATTGCCCACATCTTTCACACAAATCAAAATAGTATAGGTGCTGTAAAACTAGCTGGCAAATAGCAGAATTTTTCCACCCTAAACTCCAACTTTGCCATTATCTCTTTATGATATTGAGCATAGTTTATAGACAGCCAACTCAGGACAGTAAAACATCGAGATGTCTGTGATGCAAAATTATTCATTTGATCAGCAAAAATTTTGAGCTTAAAATTTTTTTTCTAGTATTCATCAGTAATGCAACTAATTTTTCTGTCATATATTTTATATCAGTCCAGAAGTGCCAACCATTTTAAATTATTCATTTGATCAGCAAAAATTTTGAACTTGAAAATTCTTTTCTAGCATTCATCGGTAAATGCAACTAATTTTTCTGTCATATATTTTATATCAGTCCAGAAGTGCCAACCATTTTTAATAACTTAAGTCATTGTTTCCAGGGGACAAGAATTGGCGGTAATGGCAAAGTTTCTGAAATTACGAGGTTCGACCCGAATTACACCTAGAGGGGGTGAATAGTAGATTATGCGGAATTAAAAAATTAATAATTAACTAGCAACAAGTCACTATTAATTATCTCTAGATGGTTAATCAATCAAGTCAATTTTCCTAAGTTGAATTATCACAGTCATATGAAAACAATAAATAAACAAGATCACAGAGAAACCCTGACTGGGTAAAAAATCCGGGAACTTTGCCAATCAACAATCCACTGTAAACAAAATATGAACTTATAGTCCGCTAGACACGACTACAGCTAGTACTTTTTGACCTTCTGACTGCAATTCCCACATCCCTCCTGGATTGCGTGCTCTTAGCCAACTCTCGGCTTTATGAATTCGTCTATCTCCTATGAATCAATGAAGAACTCGGCGTTCTCCAACAACTGGAACTCCAGTTACCTTCCCTTGATCTTCAGAACTCTGACAGATATGTAGGAAGTAGTAGTTTGATATTTGGATAGATTTGATGTTTTCAATGTCAAGAACAAATCAAAATATAAAAGTTGAAAGCTTGTTTGATGAAGAGAATATGAAGCAGTTAGAATTTTCTCACTGATCAACCTTAAGATAAACCGTTCAGATGCTTTCTGGTATTTAGGGTAGAATGGGTCGGACAAAAAGCCTTAAAAATGCGAATTAAAATTCTTCGGATATCCCTGTCGCTCGAGTGAAAGTTGGGCAATAGGCAAGCGACAGTGTGTCGTTCGAGTGAAGGCCAGGCGACACGCTAGCGACAATGTTTCTATTTCTGCCGCTCGAACAAAGTTTTGGTGACAGTCTAACGAAATTGCGGTGCTGTTTTTTCCTTCTTTCCATTCTCGAACCCTAGACCTAATACAACTCAATTAAGAATATTTGCAACTTACTCCTTGACTCTTACAAAACATTAAATGTAGTCCTATTTGTTCACAGATTTGCCAATTACATTAAAAACCTAACATTTTCTATATAGAAAACTCAAGGCATCAAATTCACAAGTAACTAAGTTAAATGACTTCACCTTTAGGCTCAAATATGGCTGCCTTTACAGCTTGTACTGCAAAGTGTTCTTAAAGTATGGCTGAAATCCTCAGTCAGGTGCATATTGCCAGTGACCGTGGCTGTGATCCTCAATAAAAGTTGAAGGAATGAACATTTAAGTTTACAAAGACAAAAAAAATTACTTACTCTGTGGTGTTGCGACTGATGTGAAGCTGTCACCGACATGACATTAAAATGATAACGTATTTACCTTGCGTTTGAAGCTGTATGCAGTGTGCTTCCACGCATTACTCCGTCGGACTTAGTATAGATTGGTGTCCTACCATTTCAGCTAAGGAGGCAGCCAAAACTTTGGGAAAAACTTTTGTTAAAGAGAAGTAAAATCCACAGATTTTATGCTGAAGTACAAGTATTAGAATGAGTCCTGCTTGAGCTCTTCACTTGCAAAGAAACACAGCCTCGTCAGATAGGTGCAACATGAGAGACCACATGACAAGGAAGGCACCAATATTATAATGGGGAAAAGTAACCCAAGAGGTTAAAATTATGCTCCCTTTTTCTGAATTCTCGTTTGTGTTTATAGTCCCTTCGCATTACACTGATTCCTAGTGTCTCTTTCTCCATTGCTTCAGATTGAACACCATATTCCGTCAACTTCATGTCCATATGCCCACAGACAATTAATTCGAAGTCAGCTTATACAAGGATTAATTGAGTAGGGTTAGAGTACACCGCGTGTCCGTAGTTGCCTTGGAAAAAGGCTAGCAAACTCATGTTTCAAAATTGGCTTCCCTAGTCGAGCCTTTTGAAGAGAAATCTAAGTCCACGTTTCATCAAACAATCTGTGTGCGAGGCTGCCCTCTGCATTTATGGAAAAATTGACCAACTTCAGTGACTGAATTGCAACGGACGATATGTCCAAACATTGTTTCTTTCGATCTATGTACACAGAGTTTGTAGAACCTGCAATTTCCAAATATTGTAATTGTTTCTGGTTAGCTTCATGGACAAAACGGAAATTTCAAATAAACTTGGATTATTCAGCACTTAAAGGAACACTTCCCTTCCTGCGTTATTTCTATTCCTTCTCACGGTATATGAGATTAACATGTGTGCAGAAAATGCACTCCAGGTACTGTTGATAATTCGAAGTTCCTGCAAAAGGTTGTCAACACCTGCAGCAGCCCCCATGGACTTCGGCAGACTCCAGCCATCGCAGCAGGCTGAAAATACCTGCAGCTGTCTTGACAACGATCACAGGCCTACATAGACCTCGCATCTGATTGGAGATGGATCTGGAGCTTTCATAGTGTCTCGACAACTGTAACTGGAGATAGAAGCGTGGTGAGGTTATCTCAAATAGATGTCAGCAGGAATCGGAGCTTAGCTGCAGTTGCTTGTGGACGGCGGTGGTAGCTGCGTGCTGATTGTAGAAATTACACTGCCTCGACGAGTGATCATCGGAGTCGGTGGCTTCCGGTAATAACCTCAATAATTATAGTTGGAAGAAAATAACGTCACCCCCCACAAATCCTGGGTGCATCAAAATTAAATTGAGAATGTTATGCAAAGAACAATCCTACCTCCACAGTTCTCGATAGGACTTAGTTTAGCAACATAATATTCAACTAACTACATAAAGTTCGATCATATCGTTAATTATATTTATCTATCTAATAAATAATTTTAACACACCTTTAGTCAATAAATAAATGACTAAGAATGTCACAGTTTCATGATAGCTCATGTACGTTCATATTCATTATTTTGTAAAGGCAATTCTCAACCTCAATAGTGCTAAACACACTCCTCTTGTGCAATTGTTAATAACATGATAATATAATAATATCCAAAGGATTTTTTCAAATTCAACGCACTAACCAATAATACAAGGCATACAATAATTTCATGACCTCAAATTTTTGTGGCTTCAACCTTCACAAAGTCATTCAAGATACCCATAATTTGCTCAATTTTACGTACTTTAGGGAAGTAAAACTATATGAAGCACTAACTTCAACGTGACATCATAAAAGGTTCATAGAAACTTGGAAAGTTTTCTAGCTTTCTCTCAATCATAACTTGTAGGTGGCCACTCTGTTTCTTTTCCACCTTTATTCTAAACAAAATATTTACAATAAAATCCATACTCGTTCTAACACCCCGAGCTCTACGGACTCATGACATTACTAAAATCTTAAATTTGAAAAATTCTACCTATTAATGGGATAATTGGTGGACGTAACATATCTTTTCCTTATTTAATTTATTTGTATTCTTGGATGTATATCCTGTAATTATTCTTGTCCATGTATATCCTAGTATTGCTCTCCAAGCAATATAAGTTTTCCATATTTATCTTGTATAGAGTTAGAAACCTGTTAGGTCACTTCTTGTATTTATATGAACGTGTATCAATAATATTGTAGGGTTTTTCTCCAGATCAATCATTCTTCTTCTCTGCGTCCATAGCTCACCTTTGGCCTCGGAGCGTCGTCTTCCTCTTTATCATAAAACCTTTCATGGTATCAGAGCAAAACAGCCTGACCGCTTGATCCTTGGATTCCTCCTCTTCATCTGCTGCCTCAGATACCTCCTCAACCCTCATCTCAAGCCAATCATCTGTCATGGCTTCACACGTCAATCAACTCCCAATTGTGATTAATTCACAATCACAGCTTCCAGTCAAGCTTGATCCTGAAAACTACTCTACATGGTATGCTCAGATTCATAGCTGTTTGATTGGCTATGATCTCTTTGGTTACGTTGACGGGACCAAGGTATGTCCACCGGCCACCATCGAAGTGGATAATGTTAACACACCAAACCCTGATTTCTCTTATTGGATTCGATAAGATCAATTGATCCTGAATGCAATGTTAAGCTCAGTTTCGCCAACATATGTCTCTACTATCACCTCGGCAAAATCCTCACACGAGGCGTGGTTAAAAATTCAGGGAACCTTTGCCACAAAATCTCGAACCAGGATTATGGGGCTCAAAGGAAAAATATCACGACTGCACAAAGGCAATTCCTCAATAGCTGACTACATGCGTGAAGTTCGGCAAATCGTTGACACACTGTCTATTCTAGATAAGGAGCCAGATCTTGATGAGGTAACCGTTCACGTGTTAAATGGTCTGGACAACGATTATAAGGACATAGCTGCTGCCATTAATGCAAGAGATACATCTCTCACAATAGATGAACTTCAAGAGAAGCTTGAAGCAACCGAGTTCCAAATCAAGGCTAACCTAACACCTCACCAACTTTCCTCTCCAGTCACTGCCAACTACACTACCAACAAGCCATCAAACCATTATAACAGCCGCAATAAGAATAGCAACTCTCGGTCTCAATTTAATACCAACCAGCCGTCCCACAGCAATTCACAATTCGCCCCTGCTCAGTTCTCTCAAAACTACAGGCCTAACAATTATAAGGGTAAATGTCAGCTATGTCAAGAAGTGGGTCACTCGGCAAAGTTTTGTCAAAAATGGCGCAGTACACCTATTCAGAACAACTCACCTGGTGCTTATCCTCCAAGGCAACAACGACAATTTCGGCCTTTTTCGCCATCTGCCTATGTTGCAGCACAAGCTTCCCCCAGCTCATCCGATTGGCTATTGGACTCCGGTGCCTCTCACCATGTCACAACAGATCTCAACAACCTGTCCCTCCATTCCGACTATCTTGGACCAGATGATATTCACGTCGGTGACGGTACGGGTCTAACCATTACACACACAGGCACCAAATTTCTAAAATCACAAAAATCTAATTTTCGACTCGACAACGTCCTGTGTGTACCCAAAATGAGCAAAAATCTTATATCCGTCTCCAAACTTTGCTCTCAAAATAATATATCTGTTGAATTCTCACCATCTAATTTTTCTGTGAAGGATCTGCACACGGGGAAGCCAGTTCTGCGAGGAGGAATTAAAGATGGTGTGTACGTGTGGCCCCAATCCCCTTCGCTTGATCCTAAACACGCCTACCCTGCACAACTCTTGTCATTTGATACTTTGCATCGTCGTCTAGGACATCCGTCAGTTAAAGTTTTAAACTATTTTATTCATTCGAACTCCATTTCTGTTTCACCTAGGTCTAGTTTATTTAATTGTGACTCATGTCAGTGTGTTAAGAGTCATAAGTTGCCATTTGATTCCTCATCTTTAACTAGCAATAAACCCTTGGATTTGATTTACTCTGATGTTTGGACCTCCCCTATTGTATCTCATGAGGGCTTTAAATATTATGTGGTGTTTGTTGATCACTTCACTCGATATGTATGGCTGTATACACTCCGGCGAAAATCTGACGTAAAAGATATCTTTATAAAATTCAAATCATTAGTAGAAAATTTTTTGCACACAAAAATTCGCCGGCTATACAGTGACAATGGTGGTGAGTTCTTGGCCTTGTCACACTTTCTTTCTTCACATGGCATTAGTCATTTAACTTCACCACCACACACACCTGAGCACAACGGGTTTGCTGAGAGACGACATAGACACATTGTTGAAACAGGTTTAAGCTTGCTTCACACTGCATCTGTCTCTCATCAGTACTGGCCCTATGCATTTCACACTGCGGTGTATCTAATCAATCGAATGCCCAAAGTAAACTTAAACTTTTCCACGGCCTTTGAAAAATTATTTTCAAAACCACCAAACTTCGCAAAATTAAGGGTGTTCGGTTGCTTATGCTACCCGTGGTTACGACCATACAATAACAATAAACTTGAGCCTCGCTCTAAACAGTGTACTTTCTTTGGTTACTCAAGTTCACAGAGTGCATATCTATGCTTCGATAAGGAACAAAGTAAAATATTCACTTCACGTCACGTTGTCTTTGTTGAACATATATTTCCCTTTGCACAACCTGTTCCACTACAAAACTCACAAGCACAAAAGATGGTCTCACCATCTCCCTCCATGTTCACTGTTCCCTCGTCCCCTCGTGTTCAAAAGGATCAAGGCAATCTCCCGGGGTCACCATCATCAGCTTCACTTTCCTCCTCGCCGCAGCAACCAGCTTCCCCACCAACGCTGGTCATCACAGGGCCACTACCGTCCTCACCTTCTCTGTCGTCCAGTCCCTTGGACTCGTCACTGTCACCAACTCAAACACAAACACCACCACAGTCTCCATCTCCTGCCTCGGACACCAACTCCCCTCCCTCTCCACCTCGCAAAACCAAATCCATCACAGAACTTTTACACAACACCCAACCTATCTCCCCACTTACATCTCCACCTCGCCAGCTCTTTGATTCCACCACCAAATCCATCCCTTCGCCTGCCTCACCACCCCCCACATCACCTCCAATTTCCCAACCTCCAAAAACACACACAATGGTCACCAGGTCCCGCGCCAGACAGGCCCATTTCGCTGTTACTTCTGTCCCTCGGGAACCTACCACTGTCAAACAAGCCATGGCTGATCCACATTGGCTTCAGGCAATGCACCATGAATATGATGCCCTCATCAACAACAAGACTTGGACACTCGTCCCTTCTGCTCCTGAGCATAATATAATCAGTTGTAAATGGGTATTCAGGATCAAACACAAACCGGATGGGTCCATTGATCGCTACAAAGCCCGACTTGTCGCCCGTGGCTTCCAACAGCGGTATGACATTGATTTTCATGAAACCTACAGTCCTGTTGTTAAACCAACCACAGTTCGTCTCGTGCTCACACTTGCGGTCCAATTCGGGTGGCATCTACGTCAACTCGATGTCAATAATGCTTTTTTGCATGGCAAACTTACTGAGACCATATACATGCATCAACCGCCGGGGTTTAAAGATACAACACGGCCAGATTACATCTGTAAATTGAACCGCTCACTCTATGGTTTAAAACAAGCGCCTAGGGTCTGGTATGAGTCTCTCAAAAACTTCCTCTGCACTCTTGGTTTTTGCTCCTCACAAACAGATACATCTCTCTTTATTCTTCGCATGCCTTCCACACTCATTCTCGTCCTCATATATGTTGATGATATTATAATCACTGGTAACTCTTCCATTGCCTTAAACAACCTCATTGATCGCCTTGCATCTCAATTTTCCCTCAAAGACCTAGGCACTCTTACATACTTCCTTGGTATAGAAGTCACCCATACTCCCTTAGGCCTGTTTCTCACCCAGCGCAAATATATCCGTGATCTTCTTACACGTGCCAATATGCACGATGCCAATCCCACATCCACTCCCCTAGCCTTAAACTTTCAGTCCACATTCTCTGATGGTCACGAGCTGGACAATGCGAAGGAGTATCGATCGATTCTTGGAGGCTTACAATATCTCTCCCTTACCAGGCCAGATTTATCATACTCTATCAATAAGTTGTCTCAACACATGCACACACCAAACACATCACACTGGAACTGTCTGAAACGTGTGTTGCGTTATTTATGTGGTACCGTTGACTTTGGATTAAAAATACACAAATCTGCTGTCTTTTCTCTTCATGCCTTTTCAGATGCAGATTGGGCAGGAAATCTCGCGGATCGATCCTCAACTGGAGCCTTTATTGTTTATCTTGGCAACACGCCTATCAGCTGGAGCTCCAAGAAACAGGCCACCGTAGCTCGTTCTTCCACTGAAGCTGAATATCGCTCGGTCGCCTCCACTGCTGCTGAACTTCAATGGCTCATCTCTCTCCTTTGCGAGATTGGCGTATCTTCCACTTCCACTCCTGTCATCTATTGTGACAACCTTGGAGCCACCTATCTCACCGCCAATCCAGTCTTCCACTCCAAGATGAAGCATCTCGCCATTGACTATCACTATGTGCGCCAATTGGTACAAGCTCGGAAGCTACGCGTCACTCATATTAACTCCTCCGACCAGCTTGCTGACGCTCTTACAAAGCCACTGCCTGGACCTCGACATGGCCTGTTGCGCACCAAGATTGGAGTGTTACCACCCTCCATCTTGAGGGGGGCATAATGGGATAATTGGTGGACGTAACATATCTTTTCCTTATTTAATTTATTTGTATTCTTGGATGTATATCCTGTAATTATTCTTGTCCATGTATATCCTAGTATTGCTCTCCAAGCAATATAAGTTTTCCATATTTATCTTGTATAGAGTTAGAAACCTGTTAGGTCACTTCTTGTATTTATATGAACGTGTATCAATAATATTGTAGGGTTTTTCTCCAGATCAATCATTCTTCTTCTCTGCGTCCATAGCTCACCTTTGGCCTCGGAGCCTCGTCTTCCTCTTTAACATAAAACCTTTCATAATATTGCTCATAAAAATTGAGGAAGTTAACTTAAAGCATGACCTCTACAGCTTCGAGGACCATTGCAAATCTGTAGAAAAAGTTTCAGCACATAAACAGGGAATGTCAACCTAGACAGCTTTCTGAAAAAAATAAGTTCAGCAACCAAATGAGATCTAAAATTTACGAAATTTAAACTGTAGGTATTTTACACATTGGAGAATTACAGGTTAAAATTTCGTAGGCAAATTCAGTTGATAGATGGGTCAAAATTGTTTTCAAAGTCTGATCTACTTGTTCTTCGGTACACTCTGTTAGCCCTCGAGAAAACGTCCATAACTTGAGTTTTAATAGATGGGTCAAAATTGTTTTCAAAGTCTGATCTACTTGTTCTTCGGTACACTCTGTTAGCCCTCTAGAAAACGTCCATAACTTGAGTTTTACACAATCAAAATTCAGGATTATAAGCTCGAGAGACAGAAAATATATATGGATACCTTCTCCAACTGGAATCACCTCAAAATTCCAAGTATTTTGGTCAGCATGAATTTTTAAACTTAGGGACAGAGTCTTGCAACTCAAATGAACTAAATAAACCACAATAAAATATCTTATCCAACTTGGACCAATTTCAATCAAATAAACCTTTAGACTTTCAAAAACACTAAATTAAAATATTCTAGAATTTTAAATAATGGTTCGAACAAAACATGACTTAAATGATGATTTTTGGAGCTCCCATTCAAGCACCACCACTCTCCTCCGTGATGCCATCGATCGCATTAATCTGAGATTGTTAGGGGGTTGAGTATTCCATATAAGCACTCAATAGACTCATACGCACGTTAAATCCAAACATATCGTACTTTAAGCATATATTTATGTCATTTCAACTTTTAATGAATAAGCATATCGATGATCATGCAACATACCAACATTTGGTGCATTACTAAGCCACCAATTTCATGTATCCGGTGCACTACTATGCACCAACTCATATTCAAATCCCATAAGGAGTCGCATCTACTATATCATCACATTTATACATGCTCGAACATAATATGAATTGAAATAAAACGGGGGTTTAAGTCTACCTCTTTAGAAACAAATGTTAATTAGGGTTTGAGCACCATGTATGTCTCCTGTACTTGATTTTTAATTTGTGAACTATTTGATTTATGTGCGTATATCTTTGTTGCTGTGTTATCAAAGGAAAAATGAATGAACAATAAAATGTGGAGATGACTGAGAACACACGTGCAAGAGGAATTTCAGTAGTACATGACTCAGAGATTCTTTATCCTAATATAAAACTAAATATACTAATAACTGACCATCGATTCAAATTCTCCAGTAACAACTTTGTTAGGATTAGGATAATTTAAAACTAAATCAAGTGATCATGGATAGTCCATATACATCACACGGGCACTGGCCAAAATTTCAAAACAAAAGGAATGAAACTCTTTCAAAATTCAACTACCATAGTTTTTATTTATTTGCTCTAATTTGACTTTCCTTATCTGAAATAACTTTTTGTAGAACGTAATATACATAATTAATTATGAACTATCAATCGAGTCCAATATTGACATATTAATTCTCACAATTTAAATAATTTAATAATTAATCTTGTGATATCCAGCATCCGATAAAACTAGAAATCTTAAATAAATCATGACTTATGTGACTAGTAACTCTAACAAGATTAAGAGACAAAACATAACTTAAACACACTATAATTTGTAACAAAATATTTCAATTGGCAAACATGTAACAAACATTGACTAGACCAAGTTAGTGCACTTAATTACATGACCACTTAAGCACATAAATTGGGGAACCGACGCCAATTTCTTTCTTATAAAAATTTGGGAAAAACTATCATTTTAAAATATGAAACTTTCGGTCACTACACTCTTCCTCCACTTCCAAAGGCTATTTCAAAATTCAATGCACTATTCAAGCAAAATCAGATGATAAACAAAGAGAAAGGGATACTCCCAACATTTTCTAGCTTTAACTTCAATATTAGAAGTAAATTGGATTTTTGTGGATTTACAGCTACTTATTGTGTTATACATTGAGCATGAGAAATAGTTAGAAATGAATGAAATGAAACTTACCTTGATCAAAGTGGAGGAAATTCAATGAATATGGCGGAAAAAAAGGGTAAGATGAAGAGAGGTGCAGCTGCTTAATTAACTTCGATTATTTTAGAAATGGCAGAATGATTGAGAAAAACTTACGTCACTTAATTTTTGTTTTTTTGACCTTGAATTAAAAAGTTGGGCTTGAGCCGAAAAAAGGAAAATGTTATTTTGGGTTCAATTAAATAGTTGGTAAATTTATTTAAAGAAAACTAAAAATAATTTTGTTTGTAAAATATAAAGAAAAAACTAGAGAGATTTGGTTCTAGGTCTAGAACCAAGAACTGAACCAAACTGAACCCATTAGCTTTCAATTATGATACTATTCGTATATTTAACTTAAGAAGAACCGAATCGCTCAATTCGATTTGGGTTCAATTATGTTCAAGAGTTTTGTCCAATCCTAAAGAATGGCTTGGGTTTCATATCAGAGGATATATGAGAGAAACAGGAAAAAGAATATGTAATAGCTATGGATTGGATCTCCAATCGAGATCAAGGATCTTGAAGCTTCCAACTATTATTATTGAGAAATGATATGCAAACAACAATCCTATCTCCACAATTCTAGATAGGACTTAGATTAGCAACATAATATTCATCTAACTTAAAATGACACATTATCAAGCAATTGATCACAAACTCAAGAATAAAATAATTGGCAAAGGAATTCAGTTTTAACTAAAATATGGAGAAAAAATACAATGATTTTATGTTTTTAAATTGTCTAACTTGAAATGAAGTTAAACAACGTATCTAAATTGTACAGAATAACCACACATATGGGGAACAATTCAAACCCTAGAAGTAGAGTTATAGGTCGAATGGAATGCCCATATCTTGTCATTTTCAAGTCCAACACAAATTTCAACTTCAATTGGGTTTTCAAATAGAACTTTGGCTGGAATTTGCCAACTAGACTTCAAATAGGATTCTAAAATAGCACTCCAAAAGGATTTATTCTTTAGTCAACTTTAATTAGAATTCTCAATTATCTTCAAAGTAAAATTCGGATCACACCCTAATCCTAACAAACTCCACCTTAACATAAATTCCATTGCAATGAGTAAACTTCAAACCTTCTCCACCTAGAGACAAATTCCTCAATAAGGAATAAACTTCAATGCTACATAATAAATACAAACAAAATTCTCTATCAAAATTTCCATTTTGGAAATATTCTCCATGTCTACCACAAAACCTAAATGAGTTTAAATTCAAAAATTGATTAATCGAAATTCCAAGAACACCCTTGGACACCAAAGTTGCTCGAATAATGAGCAACAAATTCAAGGGTGATTAATAATCACCAAACAAGGCTAAAACAAGCCGTATAACAAAATCACAACAAAATGCTTCAATGAAAGGATCTTTGTTAAAATCATTACCTTCTACCACAAACGAAGCAGAATTAACTAAATTAGCATCTTTGTACCTATGTGTAGGCATATTCTCAAAAATGGGTCTATTTCTAGAAATTGAATACAATGGGACAACTGGTAATTGTTGCTAAGCGGAATTACCCGTGACTTTCAAACTTGATTTAAATGTATTCATCAAAGTAGACCTCAAATAAAATTCCCACGATAGTGAATCAAACTCGCAATCCACCTAAGTTCTTAAACTATGTTGATCCATCAAAGATTTTGTATAACTTTGCAAGACATATAAATGGGACTTTGTCCATCCCTGCAACACAATATGAGCACCTCTACAAACCTTCGAGACTCCACCTTTACCAATGAATTTGTACCCTTTCAAGTCAAGAGTACTTAAGGAGATAATATTGTTTCTTCAAACCAAGAACATGTCACAGTGCATCAAGTGTTTCGACACTTCATCAATCAACTTATTTCTGACCCTTCATATACTAGCTTTCCAACAAAGCGTACTATTACCAGTCACAACTACACCTTTGAAAACTTCTTCATATGTTGTACATGAATTCCAATTGGAAAACATATGAAAATTACAATTCGTATAAAAAATCAAATACTTTGTTCTATTTATAGATGATCTAACAAGATTGTGCTGGGTTTATTTCCTGAAAAAGAAATCTGAAGTTGCTATCGTGTTTCAGAAGTTTAAAAATCTTGTGCAAGAAGAAAGTAATTGCAAGATTAAGGCTATAAGAACTGACAATGGCACTGAATATAGCTGTGATTAGTTTGATCAATTCTGTGATGATGTGGGAATTAAATATCAGCTGACTATTCCATATTCTCCTCAACAAAATGGAGTGTGTGAAGGGAAGAACATGACAATTATGGAGATGGCTAGGTGTCTCATAATTGAGGAAAAGGTTCCAAAAGAATTTTGGGCTGAAGTTGTGAGTACAGCAATATATCTTCTTGACGGATTACCTACAAAAGCCTTTCCCACATAGTGATAAAGCACGAACATGCACCAAAATACATAATCAGTTAGGTATACCAATGCTCTTACCTTTTAAGAGTACCGTGATCTATTTCAAAAAATTTCATATCACTTTTTTTCATCCAAACTTGCCTAGTGACAGGAATATTTTCAGTCATCTGTGTCATTAATTTGGTCAATTTACTTATTGATTAGTAAGAAAATCAATATGACCAACATAATCCTGATTCTTATTTCTATTTAAGTTCCGATTTCTATTTCTATTCAGGAAATGACAACACCTAAGCTTTATGTATCCTAACTTACTGCAATGAAAATAAGTAGGGATAAACCTAGGACCAAACGTATGTGATCACTAATATCTATTCCTAGGTTGGCATGTCCTACATTGTCTAGTAAGCATTTGTCCTACATATCCCTTATTCTAGGTTAAGGTTAGGCACATGTTTAAGCTTGTCAGTACCAGGGACAAATGTGGTCTTCGACGTACTAGCAATATTATGATCATTTTTATTATATCCTAGATCTCCCTTATTACCAGTAGGCTTATCCATTCATAGAATGTTATCTAAGTTTATAGAACCACTAGAAAAGGTAAAAAGTTGAGACTTGGAATTCTCTAGATCGCTCAGAAGATTTTTAACCTAGATTTCTAAGGTTTTCTTTTCAACTAATAGCTCATTAGCTCTCCTAGAGGTCTTCTTAAGCTCACTAGTAAGATTCCTAACAT